GAATCTACATGTGGCCCAGTCTATATAAAGTTTATCTTTTGTGTTGGCTAGATGTTTCCGAACTGCTGCCTCTAATTCTAAGCCTATCCATTGACGCCCATTTTCTAGTTTACGATGCCTAACAATTTTGGTTGACTTAATAAAATCGTTCTCACTTAATTTTAATTCGTCCTTGATATTCTGACGGTATAAGGCTGTTAGGAAGGCACGATCTTCCATAGAACCGGGTACGTCTTTTACAATTATACGGGGCCTACGGCTTTTCGGTTTTTCTAAGCGCAACCCTACTGATTTAATGGCGTCCACAGATTCCAGTTTCTTAAGCTGCCGTTCGTTAGCTACACGTAACACGACGCCTGCCTTAGAGGTTTTTTTAACGCCTACAATTTGAAATCCCTCATCGCTCGGTTTAATAGCCTTCATGAGAGCTTGTTTTGTTGCTGACGAGGTCGCATAGTCCGCTAAGCGTTCCGTAGTGGGATAGGCAATGACACAAGGCCTAGGAACGCGCGCTTCAGTAGGTACCGGGCACGGAGCAGATTTAGGTGGTAATCGAAGCTTAAGTTTGTCCGCGTACGTTAAACTCGTTTGTTGAGTTGCGATACCCTCCATTTGTCTCTCAAAATTCGCTAACTTCGTTTCGTTGCTAGAGGATTTTATTGCTAACAAAGATACGATACCGGTAATTCGTTGAGTTATATCCATAATCGCCGTTTTATTACCTACATTCATCCGAGATCCCTGATCATTAACTAATTCATTAATTTTTGCCAAATAATCAGTGGCCTGTGATACTAAGTCACAGTAGTTGTACTCCCCACAGTTATCACGACCAGTAGGAGACGAAACATTACCACTTAAGTCCGAATTAATAACGCGCCTACGGCTACTGTCTTTCGGCGAGAAACCCGTAGGTGACATTTCGATAAATGTCCTTTTCCCGGTTGGTGTTAGAAATTCACTTGTACCGCCGGGGTCCGGCAACTCGCTAACGACCGACATAGCCAAACAAAGACACACCAAACAACAATTTCAAAAGGAACAGGTTTAAAAATAAATAACACGCAGAGAAAAATCAATATAAACAAAGGACACCTCCTACCCACTTTTAGAAAGAAAATAAATTTACTCACCAATAGTAGTAATAAAATAATTCAGCACTATATTACTGTTTAAAAACAATAAAAACTTACTGACTTTCTTTAAAACAAAAGTGTGTGATTATGTTAAATGTAGAGTTTGGTCTTTCAGACAACTGCTGGTTCGACACAGGAATGCGAGTTAAAGGTACTCGAGCTATTAGTAACACTCCTCAAACCATCCGTACAAGCAATATCCCTTTCATACCATTGCCTGTCCGTGTGGTGACGGATTAAGAATACGGAGTGTCATCGCCCCTATTCATCCCGTGAGTGTCGTAAGAGCCGACTATGGGAGCAAATGGACAACAGCACTGCAAAGAGAAGGAAAACTTGAAACAAACCCTATACCAAAACGTCTGGCCAGCGTGGTTGGCCAAAACCTTCTTTTAAAGGAGAGTCCTATGTCCAGCAATGGACCATTAAAGGCTGTTTTTGTGATGATGATGAAATGTATGTACTTTTTTGCTAACAATTAAATCAATGTGTTCGATGTAAACTTAAGAACGAAATTAGCTAACCTCATTAACTGTAACATGATCAGTGATATGTCGGATCATTATAAGTTAATATGGGTACAATATGGTCTTGAATTTATTTTTATTCTCTATGGGTTTTATAAACAACCCGTTGATTTCTAGTTGCTTACCTATGAAGTTTATGCAATTTTTCTTTTTCTTCAGTGACATAATGACGGTACCCAAGTTGCTAATATTATTAATAAAAAAATATACGTAAGTAGGAAATAAAAAATAAAAAATCAACGCCAAAGTGACATCAGATTAATTATCAATTGAGTTCAAAATGAAAGGAAGTGGTTTTCTTGTACTAACTGCCCTGAGCCAGCTGCTGTCTGTTTCGAAAGCTACATCCTCACGATCTCTTGCAATTCTCTTATTTTATTTTGGGTCGGCACAATGATATTTCTTCTTCTATTCTCCTCTATCACTCGTCAGTTCACTGCTTACTCAAGGGGTAAGCAGTGAAATGACGAGTGACTTTGCGTAAATATGAGCAATGAGGATATAGGAAAGGTCCCATATCCTCTTTTACGCTACGTCTTCTACTCTTATTTCATTTTACATTTGGTCATCCCTACACAAACTAAATATAGAACTCAAAAAGAGACAGATTATATCTCATTGTGGTCATATTGGTTCAGCCATGCGGCATAATCTACTGTTTGAAAGTCGGCCGTAGACTTGTTAGCACTTCGCAGATTCGGTGAAATAAATAGCACATACGACAATAAAGAAACTATTTCGATGTCTATGTGTAAAAAGTAAAAGTGCTCTTCCGGGTCAAACATAAATAAAAAAAAAAATAGATGTCATATAGTCGATCGCGATCACAAAGAGTTGAGTTGGAGGAAGCTGACTCACTGAATTAACACATCATCATCATGGTGACGGATTAAGAATACGAAGTATCACCAACCCTATTCATCCCGTGGGTGTCGTAATAGGTGACTAAGGGAACTAATTGCGCAGGACAACAGCACTACGAAGAGAAGGAAAAGTTGAAACAAACCCTATACCAACCGTCTGGCCAGCATGGTATAGTAGGCCAAAACCTCTTTTCTAAAGAGAGGCCTATGTCCAACAGTGGACTATTTAAGGCTGTTGATCATCATTATCATCAACTCAGCCGAAATTCGCTACGCTATCTAGTGCTGGACATTTCTTATTTTAAAATTTATTAATAAGATTATGGGAGAAAGTACACCGCTCTACTACATTTGATACAAGCTAATTATTAAAAAAAACCAGACTGCGTGAAACTGTATACATAAAATTGACAAATATACGATTTCAATTTTTATAATTTTCATATACCCAATGTCATTCTCACAATTACGACGAATGTAACAACACCACAAACGCCCAAAATTTATCAAAGCGTTGACACCAAAAAAGGGCTACAAAGCGTGCCAAAAATATCGATACATACAAACATACATTCGATTCATATGTATGTCATATTATATCGGATTCATGTATCGACAGCACGGATGACGTAGTGGTCGCCACGCCTCTTGCTACTACGCTGAGTGATATGGTTTCGATCCACAAATTGTTGTTGTGACTCTGGGTCTTCTTTGTGTACGTTTCATGTATGTTTGTAAAGTCTCCCTCGACACAGGATATATTCCTTATGCAGAAGTTGTATTTAAAAAGAAAAATAAATGAAAACAACGCATTTTAATTTCTTGTGTAGTCGGGTGATAAAGCAGAAAAGACTACGGCAATATCGCCGATCATAGTGATGATGCATTAGTGATCATGCATTAATGCTTAAGTGTGTTGTATGTATCATTTTCACATATTTGTACCGTGATCTACACCTTTTTAAGGTAATGTTAAGGTTTATTTTGTATTCAAATTACTGATGCTGTTACTTTTAAAAGAAAGATACCACGAACGGTCACGCCTACTACATTGTGATGTAAATTAGCTTCTTTTATTTTGACGAGTGAGTTCGATTTAAAGTGACTAAGCATATTCTAATGAATTAAAGAAATATAAAATAATATGATTATTTTTTTCACAATGTGTAACTTAAATTTACATGAATTATGCGCTATTTTAAACACTATTTAATAGGTTAAAGCTTACTAGATACCACCAGTTAGTTTTGATCCTGTGAAAATGTCAAGACAGTTATACCGGTCACACATGGATAATGTAGGTTATATTTTATATGTTTAAGCCGAACAAACGACCGAGGATTTGTGTGGGCTCTTTAGAGTACCAAAAAATTTGTTGCCTGTAAAGTCGGTATACGGGCGAAAGTTTTACGTGACAACGACTATGTCTGTCTCTCTCGCTCTTAGGCGGGCTAACCATGCCCGATTGGAAGGGACGCGTGCCTCTCACTCGCTCTCATTGTGAGCGCATAACGTGAGCGGAGCGTAACGCAGTTTCTTGAAGTGTCACCCGGCAAACCAATTTATAAGACGTTGTCACGTCAAAAGCGAAAAGGGCAAAACAGACAATTCATGGTTTTCTCGATTAGGAATAGGTATACTTTTCAACTAAAGATGTTAATAGTTTCATCAAAATATATAAATTTACACTTTTTAACCCCAAAAAAAATCGCTATTTACTACTTATCTATTGATTAATACGAAATTTAACTTCCTGAAGAATCTATGTAAAGACGTCTATACGTCTCTGACGGACACTTACTCCAATCAACTCCCTCTCAAATGTAACCACCCTCACTCCGTAAAACAGTGAGATCATGGCCACCCACGGTTCTTCTAGAAACTCATCCTCTACCACTAGAAAACATCAATAATTGGGAAAATATTTGTTCTTTTTAATTCTTTATTATTCTGCGTCATTCTCGGCCTAAAGGAATAAAATTCACCAATGGTAATTGTTCTAAAATACTAAATTATTCAAATCAAGCACATGATATATTGACAAAAATTAAAATTTTATATTATTTTTTTTAACCGTCTTTAAAAAGGAGGAGGTCATCATTTCGGAAGTTTATTTTTTTTTTATGTATGTTCGGGCATTATTGTCACATATAGACGGATTTTCAAAATTCTTTTTTTGTTCGAAAGTGTTTATTCCGAAATGATCCCATTTAAGTTTCATATAAATCTGATGATGAGTTTCGGAGATAGACAACGGAACTCTTCCAAAAATGACAGCAAATCAACCGCGATTGATGTTAGGCTCTTTGATAGTATTATTTGAAGTCTGTTCAACTTTTTTAAGAAGCATTTTTATTAAATATTATTATGTTACGGACAATGACGCAGAAGTAAAGAGAGCGAAGAATTACCCAATCACACAACCCATAGATAGACTGGCAAGAAGACTCATGAAATACCCATAAAATACTCACAGCTCCTTGCCCCTTTTTACGCTGGAGGACAGTAGGGCATGGTGCAGCGGGTGCGGATGGTGTCCGTGGGGCCATCGCGGCCCCTCGGCTGGTGAAAGAGGTCCCGTGCCTGGAGAACTGCAACGACCAGAACCGACCTGAAACAAAGTTAATTTATAAGTCACCGGCTTATTAAAGCTAACATAAATTACCACTTTAATATTAAGTATTGCATGACGAGAGGCCGATAATGGACTCCTCCATGCCACATTATTATATCACAAACATCATTGTACCCTGGGTGGGTGGGTTTTGCAATAAAGTTATTTGTAATTGAATATTTTAATTTTACTTTTTAAATGTGCTGCTTTATTTTGTAATGTTATCGGTTTTTGCCGTGTTTTATTTACAAAAATGGTTTGCTTTCTTTATATGGAGCCGTGAAAAAGATAATATTTGTAATTTAATAACTATCTAATCATCATCATCACACGCACTCATACAAACTCACGCACACTCACTGCCAATTGCAAAGCCTCCTTGAACACCGATTCTCATAACTATGAAGGTACTAGGTTCACTTTAATTATTATTTCATTTAATTTCAATAACTAACCAATTAGTTTTAATCGTCTTTTTATTCAACGGTTGTAGCCACAGAATTTGTTTCTAATGTTCTGTGGTAAAATTGTGTCTGTGGAAGCATTGTATTACCAAACTGTGCCATAAAAGAGTTGCTGGTACTTATAGCACAGGCTTTCCTTTTTAAGTATGAGTGCATTATTTGTGATTACTGTAATCTAACAACCATGAAATTATGTTTGTAAACTTAAATATGATCAATAAATACATTATTATTAAAAAATCATTGAGCATATTTGAAGAAATTAGAGATCCTTTAGTGTAGCCGTATTTACATATTTTACTTAAGTTTGACGTTTACACTACTATTATATATAAAAACATGAAGTAGTCAAAATTTTAATACTTGTACAAAGATTTTTCTTTATGTATTAATTATACGAGTGAATCTGAAATCTACGAATGCACGTAATCACTCGACCAAGCTCTAGTAGGGTAGAATTTAGCCTCAAATAAAATCAAGTACATTATACAAGATATCCTAATTGCAGACTACGAAAGAGGTAGGTACTATGTTAGACGAAAGCCATACAAACACAGTTATTTAAAAACGTTTACTTCCTGTACATAAAACTGTAATAAAGTGAAACCTATAAAAAATAACTTTTTAATTAGTTGAAGTTTGTCAATTTGAAAGTAAGTTTGAAACTTGGAGTGTAATCAAACTTGCCGGGTTTGATTCCATTTGGGATCTGAGAAGTTTAACAAGGTTCCGACTCACGTTGCTGGGCAGCTGATGTTAATATTTTTACTCTATTTTATTTCTACTCCTGCTAAGCTAAATTGCTTGTGTTAGGGTGGGTTCAAGTCGGTACGAGGGTGCGTTTTTAAGTTCGCGGAATGAGAGGGTTGGAGGGGGGTGATTAGGCTCATTAGAATTGTCACGTGTTCAGTGACTCATAATTAGTATAAATACCAGGTTTCATTGTTATTAGACAATTAGTCTTTGAGTTATCGTCAACTATGCAACATAATCGGAAGTGAAAAGTGAAACATGGAAAAAATCGAATATCGTGCCGTTATAAAGTTCCTTACCAAGCAAGGAAAATCAGTTGCGACCATAATGAATGAGATGTCATTGGTTTACGGCGACTCTTGTCCAGGAAAAACCATGGTGTACAAATGGCACAGTTTATTTAAACAAGGAAGGGAATCCCTTGAAGACGACCCGAGGCCGGGCAGGAGCATCGAGGTGATCACGCCAGAACTTATCCAAAAAGTCGAAAAAATTGTACTCGAAGATGCTCGACTAAAGAAGAAACAACTCGCAGAAATGGTTGGAGTATCTGATACAACCATTTTTAGAATTCTGCACGATCATTTTGGCATGACAAAGGTCAGTGCAAGATGGGTGCCGAGAATGCTCACGCCGACGCGAAAACAACAGCGCGTAGAGTGTTCACGTGCAATTTTTAGACCTTTGTAATGAAGACAAGGATGCTGTATTGAGTAGAATTGTGACTGGAGACGAAACTTGGGTTCATCATTATGAACCTGAGTCGAAACAAGACTCCATGCAGTGGCATAAAAAGGGCACAGCACCTCCCAAGAAGTTTAAGGTGTCACAGTCAGCTGGGAAACTCATGGCAACGGTCTTTTGGGACTCAGAAGGAAAATTATTGATCGATTATAAAGATAAAGGTGTTTCTATAACCGGAGAATACTACGCTTCGTCCGTTGCGTTGGCTGCCCTGCATAAGGTGGGCTTCGATATTTTGAATCACCCACTCTACAGCCCAGACCTGGCCCCCAGCGATCATTGCCTGTTTCCAAAAATAAATAAAAGAGCTGCGGGGTAAAAAATTTACCAAAGGTGATGAAGTCAAGGAGGCAGTTTCGGCGTATTTTGAAGACAAAGAGAAAACATTTTTTTATGAGGGTATAAACAAATTAATTGAAAGATCTGAAAAATGTATCCGTCTTGCAGGTGAATATATTGAAAAGGAAAAATAATTTGTTTTTTTTTATTTTTACCCCTTATCCCCCATTCGGCGAACATAAAAACGCTCCCTCGTAGGTATCATGATTTTGTACAACTAAAAACCACAGTTTAATGACGAACCGATTATAAACACAAAAGATTTATTTTGATACAACGATTAAGTATGTTATAATTAACTACAAAGATTTGTTTACATAGTTTGTTAGCAAATGATTGAAAAAAAAGCAAAAAAAAAATCGACTGCTAAAATGTATATGTAAGTAGGTACTTAAAATTTTCAAATACCCAGTATCTCTCTCACAATTTAAACAAATCTAATGACACCCCAAGCTTGCCAAAGGAACATACATGTATATACACATATAACATATACAAGCTGACCGGGCAAACGTTGTTTTGCCATATACCTACATTATTTCTAGGAAATATTTAAAAAAAAATTAGGGGTGGGTCACCCTTGTCATTTAGGGGTATGAAAAATAGATGTTGGCCGATTCTTAGACCTACCCGATGTGCACATAAAATTTCATATAAAACGGTCCAGCCATTTCCGAGGAGTATGGTAACTAACATTGTGACACGAGAATTTTATATATAAATAAACATTTTGGCCCGATTGGGTAAAAATTACCCGTCAATAAACAGTTTCTTTAATAAAATATCATAAATATGTTCAGTGATAAATCTTCCCATTTATTTGGGAGTTGGAGTATCTTGTCATCAAAATGTCTTGTCATTTTCCTACCATCAAAATATAATCATAACGCTGTATTTTCTACGAGATCAGCGGTGTAAAGTAAAAAGAGAGATTTCACCCATTTGGCGCTCTCCCAAGAATGTTGCCCGAATATTTTATTCTTTTATTAGTTTTTTTTTTTAAATCTGTGTTACGACATGAATCCTTATAATGTAATACTATTATAAATGTGAAAGTTTGGATGGGTAGATGTTTGGAACACGTCAGAACAGAATTAAATTTGGCACAGATATAGTTATGCTAAGAATAGCGTATAATCTATTTTTTATTCCGGGAAAATTGATTACGAAAATCAACACTACGACTTTTTTGGAATAAAGTTCCTTATCGCGCCGTTACACGCTCTCAGCGGATAGGAGCGATACCGAAAAATGTGTAACGAGACTTTTTTCCGACACTTGCTGAACTTCATAGACCCCTCACGCCGTTTTCAATTACTTGTAATTATTATTATAAAAACCGGGGAGGTAAAGCATGCTCCGGACCATATAGGCCAGTTTGATCTATGTGATAATTCAAGCAAGCATAATCAATTTTTTTGTTGCTTTTAACCGAGTGTTAGTTACTGGATGAGCGATCCCTCCAAATTCTGGGAGGGGCACTCAAAGGCCTTCAACGCTCTTGACTCTTGCCATGGTGTCTATAGGCGCCGTCATTTACCATCACATTGTGACTAGGTGACCAATTAGCTCATGTGCGCTCTACACCCTCAAATAAATAATTGGGAATAATTTATTAATCCTAAAGGGTGATTCCGAAACAGGTGTAACGTAGATTTTAAGAGGAGAGGTACCCGAGTACTCCAAGAATCTTTTATACAATGACCTATATTTTATGATCTTCACACTAAAACTACCAATGAATTCATCTATTTGCACTATTTACACGCGATTTTTCTATCCAAAGGTTAAGAGATTGGTTTTTGGCTATAAGGCCGTCAATTTGACAAATAAAAACAATAAAATTGGTGTACTTTTATCTGATTTTATTCTATTCTATATTTTTACAAATTTGTCAAATTTTAATGTATTGTTTTTAGAATTGAAATAATATCTAGTTGAATGAATAACTAGCCTTTATATATGTATATATATGTATATATGTATGCAATGTATTTCGGTTATCGCGGTAAAAAGTAGCCAATGTTACCCGCTGGTAATGGAGCTTTCTATTGGTGAAATAATTTTTAAAATCTATTTAGTTGTTAAGAGAGAAGGCGTTACATACACTCAAAATGACTTTCACATCTATGCAAATATATAAAATTGTCAAAATTATAGGTTTTTTTTCATGCTCACACGGTTATTTGCACGATACCTATGCCTAAAACCAGTTTTTTTTTGTCTGTCTGTCTGTTTGTTCCGTGTTCTCTTCTAAACGGCTGGACTGATTTGGATAATATTTTACTACCAGGTAGCTGTCTACATAAGGAATAACTTAGGCAATTTTTCCTCTGAGAAAAAACCCTTTAAAATTTAGCCCAGTCCGGGCATCGAACCCACTAAGGCAGCGCTTTTCAAATTCCAAGCGAACGAAGTCGTGGGTACCAGCTGGTAATATATCGGAATTATGAATGGGTTTCCTATAAATCTATACTAATATTATAAAGCTGAAGAGTTTGTTTGTTTGTTTGAACGCGCTAATCTCAGGAACTACTGGTCCGATTTGAAAAATTCTTTCAGTGTTAGATAGCCCATTTATCGAGGAAGGCTATAGGCTATATATCATCACGCTAAGACCAATAGGAGCGGAGCACCAATGAAGAATGTTTCAAAAACGGCGAAAATTTATTACTATTGAGAGACGCAGACGAAGTT